ACTGTTTAAAAACAATATTTCAAAATTTAGCTTAGTGGCGTTTTCTGCTTTCCCAGGAAGCCATAATTACTTGTTACCAAAGGTATTGTAATTTTGACTGACAACAGCTGTCAAATTTTCCCGCGGGTAAACTGAAACTAGAAACCATCTGTAATTCAAAGTTCCGCGTTTGTGATTGGTAGAAATTAAGACGAGGGAAATAGTCGTCATGAAAAGCGCAGGATATAAACTGGTGCCACGGCTTGACTTGTGTTTGAATGTTTATGGTGGCTATGTTGGAAAATGAAAAAATGTTCATATTTTAGTTTGTGATACAATTTACATTCATAAATAAAATCTCTCTGACTGGATTACAAAACGGTTCTTACTTAAAAAATGACCCTTGTATAAACCGTTACTTCAATGCTATTTTTTTTAGGTTGATTACTGTGGCATGTTGGCGATTTTCCTTTGTACAGATGAAGCCAGAATTGTGGAACGACTTGATTTTTCTTCAGCTGATACAATTAATCTTATCAGTGGTTTAGGTTTTCTATGATTTTTCTCGCCCAAGTGCGAATGCAGTCACTAAAAACTATATTCCCCCACTAAATAGTAGATAACATGAAAATTGTACTTCTCCTATTAACTCCCGTATTCAAAAAGTATTTTATCCTGTGAAACTGGGCATTTATAGAAGTGTTAAGAGACATTAACGTTACTCCGCATAGATGCCAGGCGACGCAAAATGTAAATAACAGAATTTTATATAACTCCATTGGTATCCCTCAATGTTTTATTCAAAGCTTCTTTTTTATATAACATTCTAGCAAAATAGCACATGTAGCAAAATTGTCCGATGAGCTGGCAATGTAGCAATCTAGGTGACAAGATAAGCTGCCATAACGTATGTCTATCCCGGGGTAGCGACGGAGTCATATAGTACGTCAAAGCGCTCGTTTTCCAAACTTCATTTGAATTTTTTTAGCGGTGTACAACGATTTCCAAAAAAATTTCGCTACGGATAGTCTTCTAGAGGCTAGTAGGGTATATTTCAATACTTGTCTTGCGTGGCCATGTTATCTTCACTCGGGCCGGTAGGTTTTTCGTAACTACAAATTTTATTAAAGTCGTTCTTATTTAAACTACATTTTTGAGTTGATGAACTTTAGAATCAGGTGTATAACACCAAACATGTTGGTGAAATTGTATAAGATAACAACGCAATTTTCTTCTAGATGATTATAATCGACAAAAGGAGCATCCAGCAAATATTACTGGTTTTATAGACATGCAGACCAATACAGACAATTATCCAGATGTGATCTTGCAATTCAACCAAATATCCAACTTTCTTCTCAGAGACTCAGAGATGAAAACTATAGACCACTCGGCTTCACAAAACATATGCAACCAACAATGCGTGTACTTGTAGTTGAGCCATTCCTCCATAGATGGACGCTCACAACGATCCTAGTGAGCAAACGTGGAATACCTGTTTGCACCCTAAAAAGTATTTAGTCTGCAAGATGACATCTTACTTACCTACCACTCTTGAACCCTCTCGTTCCGGGACGCTGTTATCACCTTTGCAATTTTTCAGAAGCATTTGTACAAAGTGTATCGAAGTTAATAAGGAACTAAAAAACACCGTATGATCTCAAACACGTTTCAGTCCTCCGATGGTTCAGAATTGGTTATAGCAATTCTTGTTTCCTGGATGTCACCCAAGCCTTATTGACTATGTGGCAATACTATCGCTCCTACTAAATGGTACCACAATGTACGTTAAACACGACGAATCCATCGTGATGGCGGTCAAACCCATAGATTTATAAAACAAAATGCAGCTGACTGATATACCGTTCCAAAATTTGAATTCTTGATTACATATATTCTAGTAAACCTTGTTAATTGTTATACAAAGGAGCTTCTAAGAATTTTGTTATTTAAACATGATGAAAAATGGCAATTTGCAATATCTGAACATGGAATATTATTATTAGAAAAGTCATATTAACGGAATATTTTTGGTCGAAGAAATCTTTGTATTTTTTATTATTTAAGTAACAATAAAGTAGTTGTATATCTTTCTAATTTACCATACATAAAAAGATCCGTCTAATATTGAAGAGAAAAAGAGAAAAACGAGACAAAATGCAATTTTTGAATTTATCAAATAACTGTTAAGCGTAGATACTCATTTCATCAAAAGCGTAGACATTTTTTGCATAGTTTGTATTCATCAATTTCGGATGTCTTTCATTATTGTTGCAGCTATCATCCGACATAGTGTTTTTGAAATTTCATCAAAGTAATATAAAAAAAATATAAGCTATCATACGTATACAGCTGGTTTCCTGTTTGCAAAATGTTGTATATGGCGTGTGAAAAACTGTTTGACCGCTATAAAGAATACACATAATGTGAAAAAACATTTATTTCTCCAAATATAAAAAAAATAATAGAAAAAAAGGAGCTTTGTGGATTTGAACTTCCGTCCTGCGGTTCAGAAATCGCCGTTCTCTCCCATTACGCTACAACGCCTCTTGGTTTACATGAATCAAATCCAAGCGAATAACAAAAATTTCTGTGTTATGTAAGATGACACACGGGTTGATGACGTCAGTTACACGAATCGCTTGAACGCTTTGGTTTTAACCGCGGTTTTGTTGCAAGTTGTTTATTTTAGAAAAGCGCGTATATAATCTCTGATTATTTTTATTATCACTTAATAATCGGTGCTTTTTCGTCTAGAACTGTATATGGAAAGTTTAAATAAGAAACCTTTCATAATATTCATGGGAGAAATGTTTTTTTCAGATTTTTTTTAATGATGGAACCATGGCTTTGTAGCTATGATAACTTTCAATTCTCTAAATTTTTCCGCATGTCAAAGAAAACATTTATTGATTCAGCAGAAATGATGAAAAAAGAAATTAGCAAAACTGTATACAGGTGGATATCATCTAGTGAGTTTATATGACCATATTTTAATATTCTTGTGGTATATGGCTACATAGGATACTTTGTTAAGCATAGGAACTACATTTAAAGCTTCCCCAACAACCGTAATGAGTATAACTAATAAGGTGCCCCACTTTATGGTAAAACTGAAGCCTGTATCATTTTTCTCAAAAATGAAGCTGAAGTACAATAACAATATCCAATACCCGGCAAAATTCTAACTTGTCACATTTCAAATAATAACCAGAAATATAAAACTACTCTTGAGTTGGGTAAATACCACAATTTTGCGGTGATAACTATGACATATAACAGCTGATTCGTGACGTCACGGATCTTATAACCAAACTGATAACTACATTCGCTTGAACGGATCGGTAAATACCAACCCAAAATGGTAAATACCATTTCCATTTGGTTATCCGCTTGAATTTGATTATGATCTTTATACCACTACACTTGACACTGACAAATGTCAAGCGAACGTCGAAGGCGTATCAAATATGTTATAAACAATTAGGATACTACTGAAAACTATACATGATGCAATGCTGAAACTTTAAATAATGTATTAGGGACTAATACCGACCATTTTGCCTAATTTTGAAGACAGTCAGCTCGCTACAATTGTTTGATATTTTTCGTTTTCTCTAGTTTATTTTCCAATATTTTGAACTCGCAGTCGGTTTAATCGTACAAGATTTCGAAAACAGACGTATACTATACTGAAATTTTTAGAAAAAAGGTCCAGGGAATTATATTTCTTCGTAAAGAAACTGGATTACGTGACCTACTTATTTGACAAAGTCATGTAGTCATCAATAATGTAGCCATTCAGCACATGCTACATACTAACTAGTCTAAGAGAGTTTGAAACATAATTGTCTTCACTTTGTGAGATACCTTTATAAACAGTTCAGCGCATTTCAGTGTGAAATATTAATTTTTATAAACTTTAGGGCCGATCTGTGACCGTGTCAAAATTTCAGCTCTAAATATGTATACACAAGAGTATGAAAAAATCTTGAAAAAAAATTGTTTTCTTCGCAATCAAAGGTGATGGACACATCCGCTTTGTTTTAAGATGTATATAATAACGTAGGTATGTTTTTTTAAATATCGTAGCGAATCTTTTCAATTACAAGCAAATACGAAATGTTTGAATTTGTTTAGAAGAAAAAAACGTAGCCCTTCGTTTTTCGCATAAAAACAACAATTATCTTTCGGAGTGGTTTGTGATTCATGTCGGCAAGGTAAACTCGTGTATATTGCTATAAAATGCCCTTTGAACGAACCCTGTATATTGCTCAGTAAACTAGTAGTGATGGCCGGAAGACAGGTGTTTTGAGACAAACAATTAGAAATTCTCAAAGACTACTTGACCAATCGACTCCAATTTTGGTGTGGCTACTTGGAAGTATGAAGCTTCCGGATTTGAAGAATTTCAAGTAGCTGTGTGAAATTATCGTCGTTAGTCGGATCTTTTTACGTGTGATCTCTTTCTGTAGGTCTCAGAAACACCTAATAATCTCATTTGAAGAATTTTTTGGTTTCTGCCGACACTTTCGATAGAATCCCAGAAAACACGTTTTCTCATTTTTTGTTGTCGAATAAAAAGTTTTTCCACAAAAATCGGTGTACCATTTTATGCGCCCATGTTTTAAATACCGCATCAATAAAACCAGACTTTACAATTATTTCCTGGAAATTTGCCAATATGCATAATGGCATATTTGAATTTACGAAGTTTACCTCCAAATGACGTGTGGTGTCATTATCTAGATAATGCTAGTTGTCAGTTTGTCACCACTTAAATTTCTCTTTGGATCCCTTGAATCTTTTTGAAAAATGCGTGGATACCAAGATTTCTAAGTGTTTTGATATTTGATACATTTTTCAAATAACAGGGCACAGGGCTTGCTTTATTCCAAATCACCATTGTTCCATAAGGACGGATGGGATAAGGATTGAGGAACCGTTTACATTGCATATTTTTTTAGAGCTTCACGTTCCAAATGAGGCAGTAGGGCTTCTAATACAACAAAACTATGAAATAGAAAGATCGATACAGAAATTATTGATTTATTTATTATTTTAAACAGAAACGGATATCTGGATTAATTAGAATTTACTACTGGTACTTGACGCAATAGCAGCTTGTTAAATAGCAAAATCCTCCTATGTAATTGTTGCTGGAACAGTACCGGTTACAAGAATTACATTCACAAGCTCCGAGGGGGCCAGCTGATACGGAAGGTGCGCGGACGCTCAACATTGGACGAACTTCTGAAAAAAGAAAATATAATAATAAATCAACAAGTGATTCGTATTTATATCTTTAGAGCGAAATGAAATAGATTCATTCTACATCATAATAATAATAAGGATACTAATATTTATTCGCCAAAATACAAAATAGTTTAAGACTGGGCAAATAAATATATGAAAAATCTGTGTGTGAATTATGTAATTAATATGCTCCTAATGAACAAAAATCATATGTGCATAACAAACATAATTAAGTTTAAGAAGTATTTCCATAATTTGGAGTTTTGCAGTTTTAGTTTTCTATACAGGGTGTTTCAGTTTATTGTTGCATAACTTTAAGATTCGATAGAACTTTTAAAATTAATGCATAAAGTCTATATAAACATGGGTCGAAAAATGCGTGGCTTCCGAAATACCGCGTGTTTAAATTTACTTTCTAAAATAGTTTTTTTTTTAAATATTTCGAACAATATTTGATGTATAACAGTGAAAATTGGTATACAAGGGTTTTTTGGTACGACAAAACGAACCATAGTTTTACTGTAGCCGCTGGAGGGCGCTCTCTACTGTACCTGTAGTGTATTAAAATGACCGAAATTTTTTTCTTAGTGCAACTTTTTGCTTTCTGAATAAAAAAACTGATTCTTCACACTTTTCGACATAAAAAAGCTCTCTTGTGAATTTTGGTTATAGTTAGCCGTTTTTGAGATATTTCGATTTTTAAGGTTCGATGCATTTTTAATTATTTATGATAAAATAAAGTTAATAAGTCAGTATCTCGATAATTTTTAGAAGTAGGCTGTGCCTGCAAATATTTTTGAAATTGAAAGCAGAATAATTTTAAACGTCAATTAGTTGACAGTTTTGTTGTCTGTTGAAACCTGAAACGTTTTTTTGCAATTGTGAATGCACGAAATTTAGTTTCTTTTACCTGTTTTTTTTGTAAGTTTTATAAAAATGCCATTTTTATTCTCCAATCAAGAGTTAGCGGATATTCATTTTGTGTATGGCTTTGTAAATGGAAATGCAGCGGAAGCAGCCAGAGAATACGCACGAAGATTTCTAAACAGACGACATCCAACTCGCTCAGTATTTGTAAGAGTGCATCGCCAAATAATTGAAAATGGTTTTGGAAATCTCCAAAGGGATCAAAACATAAATGTTCGTCAGCGCAGATTTACCCGTATGATTCTGCGTGAGTTTGATAGAGATCCGACCACAAGTCTTAGGAGAGTTTCTGGTTTGGTTTGGGAATTTCAGCAAGCCATGTTCCCCGTGTTCTTAGAAATTACCATTTGCAACCTGTGCAAGGACTACAGCCAGGGGACAGAGAACGAAGAATCACATTTTGTCAGTGGATTCTTGATAGAATTGATAATAATAGGGAGTTTTTAAGTAACGTTTTATGGACCGATAAGTCATGCTTCACTAGACGTGGAGTGGTAAATTTTCATAATCAACATATTTGATCGCATGAAAATCCGCATGCAGTTCAGGAAAGAAATTTTCAGCATGAATTTAGTGTGAACGTGTGGATTGGTATCTACCGTAATCGACTATTTGGACCCTACATTTTGCCTGCAAGGTTAAAGGCTGCGACCTTCTTGGAATTTTTAAAGGCTGAACATGCAAATATGTGGGATGATGTTATGTTAGATTTAAGAAGATTGGCCTGGTTCCAGCTTGATGGTTGTCCAGCTCATTATTCGAGAATAGTTGAAACTGGCTGGACGAAAATTATCCAGAAAGATGGATCGGCCGTGGAGGACCAGTCGCCTGGCCTCCACGATCCCCTGACCTAAATTCATTAGATCTCTTTTTGTGAGGATTTCTAAAAGAAAAAGTGTACCAGACTCCTGTAACCACAAGAGATATGCTAATAGACAGAATCAGGAAATGCATGTGATGAAATAAGGCCTTATTTGAATAATGCTATACCACGTTCGATCATTCGTAGATGTGAATTGTGTATTGAACAATTGAGTTTACATTTCGAGCAACTACTTTAGATTTTGTATGTTTGTCCTAACTATCCAATAGCATTTTAGTTGTAAATAATTAATTTAATTTGTTAAAAATAATATTGGAAAATTAAACAAATTAATATTTTTTTGTGTTTATTTGGAGTTAGGAATTATTGCTGTGTTTAAAAACACAATCTTAACGATCATCTTAATTACTTGTAATGCCCAAATCGAAAATGTAAAAAAAATATTATTTTCCCATAAATAATTAAAAATGCATCGAACCTTAAAAATCGAAATATCTCAAAAACGGCTAACTAAACGAAAACTCACAGGAGAGCTTTTTATGCAGAAAAGTGCGAAGAATCAGTTTTTTATTCAAAAAGCAAAAAATTGCACTAAGAAAAAATTTTCGGTCATTTTAATACACTACAGGTACAGTAGAGAGCGCCCTCTAGCGGCTACAGTAAAACTATGCCATGGTTCGTTTTGTCGGACCAAAAAACCCTTGTATACCAATTTTCACTGTTGTACATCAAATATCGTTGGAAATATTTAAAAAAAAACTATTTTAAAAAGTAAATTTAAACACCTTGTATTTCGGAAGCCACGCATTTTTCGACCCATGTTTACATAGACTTTATGCATTAGTTTTATCGAATCTTAAAGTTATGCAACAATAAACTGAAACACCCTGTATAATTATGCATAAATATTCGCTGCATAGTACCAACCCAGTCTTTCAATTATCGTTTAAATTTAAATCTCTTTATTTTGTTTGGTACTACATTATTTAATCTAGCTGCTAAGAATTCAAATGATTTTTTGAATAGTGTTTTGTGTAGTCCTTGGATACCCAGATAGACAGATACCGCATAGATAAGCCTATTCGAAATCGTGTCTCATGCTCGTGCTTATAGGAATTTTGCTCATTACAATTTTTGTGATATAAAGTGGTAGCATCGTGGCTTATTGAAAATGGCCTTTGAAACAATTTTGTGTGCTATATCCAGATCAGAAATATATATACTTGGTGACAAAAAAGCTAAACACCTACGTATGTTTATCCGATTTTAATAATTTTTGGCATATATGTTCAGTGTCCCCTGCTAGTAAAATGATTAAATTTTCAGCTTGATTCGTCAACTGACTGCAGAAGTTGGTTATACACTCATTGACACGCCTGGGCATCGTGCTGACAAGGTGGTTGATATCCTGTTGGAGTATCTCATTCCAGGCTACTGCAACTTCGTGAGTAAGAGCTGCTAAAGTCTGTGGAGGGTGTTTCAAATTCAAGAGCCTGCGACCTATCATGTCCCAGACATGTTCAATTGGAGATAGGTCAGGCGATCGTGGTGGCCAAGGTAAACGGTTGGTGCGATGTTGATCCATGAAGGCTAACGATGCTCTGGCAACATGTGGTTTGGCATTGTCTTGCTGAAAAATCGGGTTTAGGATAGTGTTTGGGTATGGAATGAGATGAGGCTCCACTACTTCCTGAATATAGCGTCGGGCTGTCATATTGCCTCTGATGAAAATTAGTGGTGATCTGCTGCCATAAGCTATAGCACCCTATACCATAACTTTCGCGGTGTGGAGAACGTGACGCTCCCTGTCAAATTGTGGGCCACGTCTTTCACCACGCCGCCTTCTCATCCTTGCCCGACCATCGTGTATCCGCAGACAGCAGCAGGATCGTTACTAAAGACCACCTGACTCCATTCTCGGTACCATAGATTTTTTTCTCTACACCAGAACAAACGGTTACGCCGATGTTCAGCTGTGAGAGGTAGCACCCAATGCGGGTGATAAAAAAAAGGCCAAACTGTCGTATTCGGCGATACACCGTACGCATACCAACCATCCTTCAATGGTCTTCAAATCACTGATTAGCGTTGGCTCGAGTACTACTGAATCTGTCTCTCAGAGCCAGAAGGCTTAACCGGCGGTTTTGTCGCTCTGTGGTCCCTCTGGGACCTCCAGAACCCCTCGCTCGCTGCCCTCGGCCGTCCTGAGTTCACGTTCATTCACAGCTGTATACGACGTAAGGATCTGTTGGTCCGCTTATTGATAGACCGGCTTCTCCCAACCCGACAATAGGTATATTCTCTAATTCACCGGTTGAGCTACCGGTGCAACCGGTTAGCTAAATTCCGCTGGAACGACTGGTTGTACATCAAACTTGTCTCTATATTGATGGTGGATATGCCACCGGTGCCAACAGCTTCCACCGACGTTCGGGCTCGGTTGATCCACGATATTCTAACCTCTACATTTTATCAGTTTTGACAATTACAGTTTTGTGTGAAAAAATGGAAGAAGAAAAGATTGAAGTTAGCAGCATAGGAGTCGCGTGAAAATTTTTTTTTCAACACAATTTGAAATAAACAGAGCATCTGAAAGCAAGTCAATTTGTTTTGAATTATGCATATCGACGATCTCAAATCAATACCTCGTAAGTCCGAAAATGTAGATTTTCTGATTTTATTCTGTTTTTATTCCTGTATGAATACAGGAATGCTCTCAGAAAATCCATATCGATGGTTTTTATATGGGAAGCATCGACGATCTCAAATCAATGCCTCGTATTGATTTGAGATCGTCGATATCTGAAAATTTCTTGGTTTTCTGATTTATAGTTCTTATATTCATTCTCGGAGCGCAAATTCACTCCGCTGGATAACTTCTTCATCAGAATCATCACCCGAATCGCTTAACAAACGTTCCACGACAATACCAACTGCTGCGTACATTTCCAAAATGATTTTAAATGATACGGTGTTCAAATTAACAAATATCCATTTACGATAAAACAAAGGTTAGGTTTTCTCATATGACAACAACCTGAGGGCTAGAAATGCGTCATTATATTAACGACCATTCAACGGAACCGGTTGCGACGTCATCACATCAGCTGTCAACCATGAGTTCACCGGATCCATCCGTGATGGAATCAATCGGTGCATTAAAGAATATACCTAATTCGACCCCTCTCAAAGTCACTTAGCTGGGACACACTGCGAAAAAAGGCTTCTCAATAAGCTACACGAAATTAAACATTTCACTGACACGTTAATGTACGAAAACTGAATGCTTCTTTATCACCAAACAATACACGCAGCCACCACAAAAACTTAATAAAAAAGCCTGACCATGTTATCACTTGTTGTTTGTGGCAATTTATCTTGCCATAAATATATTCGATACGTAAAAAAATCTTGAATTCTAATAAACATACAGTATTCGGAGATAAGATATACCTTATTTCACGTGAATCAATCACGGTAGAATGACAGCTGATTATCTAGTAATATCTCAAAATTCTCCATATCGGCACAGGACACATAATTCTGATGGATCCGTCAACGTCAGGTAGTCAGAGCCGTATCTGTTTTGATTTTTTGAACGATACAGATTCATTTTGTACTTGCTAACAGGTCATTCATTTAGAGAAGTTAATTTACATACAAAAAACAAACCGCTACAAACAAGTTTTACTAGATTTACAACCGATACATTATTGCCAACTTTGCAGACTAACACAAAAATGTCACTTGCTATCAACTGTCCCCCTCGGTAGACGTCAAAGCGTGATGGATACTCGTGAAATAGGGTATAAGTATGTTTGCAAGTTCTGAGCTTATATGCAGCATTTCTAATTCTTTGATAACATGGTTATTATATCCTAAACGCGATTTTATAAATACTCCATGATATTTTAATCTGGCAACTCTATCGATTTTTGTTTTTGGCTATGATAATTAACAGAAATTTGCTTCAGTATATTCGAGTTTTCATCTTCATATAATATTAGGGTGGCATATGTGAAACATATAGTCTTTGCAGAAATAAAAATCATTTAATTAGAGATTAAATAATAGTGGGACTGGTATTGTTCCTTGAGGCACACCACACTTGATGTACATTTTTTTACTGAAAGTGTTAGAGATTTTGATATTCTATGTCCAATCTGAAAGGTAATTTTGTAAAAAGTAGTTTTGATGACCCCCTAAATCCCCCAATCTTTCCATAACTTTGAGAAGCTCGGCATGCTTCATCGTATCGAAGGCAATTTTTAGGTCGGACGACGAACATGTTAGCCAGCCAAAATTTGTGATAACACTAGAAATCGTCGAAAAAGTGCGTGGATTAATCAAAAATGATCCAAAATCTTCACTGAGATACATAGAAATGGAATTAAATATATCTGAATATTCAATCCATCGCATTTTGGCCAAGAATATGGGCATGAGAAAGGTGTCTTTACGGTTTGCTCCGCATAAGCTCACGGATGATCAAAAAATTGCTTTGAATTCAACATTCGACAGACATCATTCAAGAGGCAACATTGTGTACATTGTTTTTTAGCTGCCATTGTATAGTACTTATTTAGTTAATAGTTAGTATGCTCATTATTTTTAAGAGATCTCCACAAAAAGAAACTTGAGGCTGTTAAAACTGGTCAAGTTTGGAGCTTTATGACATAGAAGGCATCCTACTTCTTTAAGGCATTATAAACTGATGATAAGAACAAGTTCTTTAAAAAATAATCAAGAATGACTAAAAATAATGATTTCACAATAAATTTAAATGTTGGATGGGAAACGATTTGATCAACGGAAAAGTATCAGAACGCAAAATATCTATATATACTAAGTGACATATAAATTCGAACACCCAGTTTAAATCGTTTTATTTTAATAAAAGTTGGTGAATGTATTTATCTTACTGTAAATAACAAGTGAAAAAATTTTCAGCCTTATCAGTTGGACATTCCGGTTTTTATATTGCTTTTTTTTAATTCACTAATGCTCTAAAAATGTATATTTCAGCCGCAGTAAAGAATCAACGTTGGCGGATTTTGGTTCTTGACATCCTTTACGATCGGTTACGATGCCTAGAGTACGGAGACCTATACGATTTCGTCAACTCAGTGAGTTTGATAGGGGCCGTATAGTGGGACTTCGGGAAGCTGGACTTTCTTTGCGGGCAATTGCAGTTAGAGTGCAAAGAAGTGTAGACACTGTGGTTAGGTGTTGTCAGGCATGGCTTCGAGAAGGCCGTACGCAAAGAGCAAGGGGCACTGGACGCCGCCGTAGAACAACAGACCGTGAAGATCGCCGCCTAAGATTATTGGACTTAAGGGACCGTTTCTCCACTACCAGGACCATTGCACATGAATGGTTTGCAGAACACGGAAGACCTATTGGCATGCGACGTGTTTACCGACGAATGAGAAGTTTTGGCTTGTTTTCATACCGGCCACACTGGGTCCTCCTTTTAACTCGAGAACACCGACATAATCGCCTTGAGTGGTGCAGACAACGGTCACTCTGGGATCAGGAATGGAACAGTATTGTCTTGAGTGACGAGTCTCGATTTTGTTTAGGCACGCACGATGGTCGTGCCAGGGTTAGAAGGCAACGTGGTGAAAGGAGCAATCCACAGTTTTTTGTTGAAAGACATGTTCATCACACTGTTGGAGTTATGGTTTGGGGTGCTATAGCTTATGGTTCCAGGTCACCTTTAATCTTCATCAGAGGTAACATGAACGCGCAGCGTTATATCCACGAAATTCTAGAACCCCATCTTTTACCCTATCTTGACACCCTGGCAGATCCAACTTTCCAACAAGATAATGCCCGACCACATGTTGCAAGAGTCACAATAGACTACTTTCCACATAATGATGTCACATTGTTACCATGGCCACCAAGATCTCACGACTTATCCCCAATTGAGCACGTGTGGGATATGACGGGTAGGAGATTGCTCAATTTGCAATGTCCTCCTCAGACTCTAGAAGCACTTCGAGAGGAGTTGGTGGTTGCCTGGAATGAGATACCACAGGAGGACATTGACCACCTGATCAGAAGCATGCCTAGGCGCGTTGGAGAATGCGTAGCACATCAGGGTATTAAAGGTCAAAGCGCTTTAAAGCAGTGCAATCATTTTGAAATTTTTATCATTTACTTATTATGCTTCATTAAGTACTTATACAAAATTTTATTAAAATAAAACCATTTAAACTGGGTGTTCGGATTTATATGTCACTTAGTATAATAATCACTTCCAGGAAAAATTAATATTTTGATCATCATTGTTCATCCATGCTACTTATAGGATAGATTGTCAAGTTACTCAGATTAGATAACATCTGATTAGCAATATAGATGACAACATTGAATACGCAAACGTTTTTAATAAAATATTGATCATACCTATTTAAATTTCCCACGTTCTCATTCTGGTGTATCCCGATTTTTGTTTTTCACAGATAGTTAATGCATACATATTATTATTTGTATGAGGTGCGACAGGAAATATAACTAAATTAATAATTACGTGTCAGAGTTGGTTTAATTTCCAATTGCGATGACAAACTGATTCACTAGAAACATTCTTCAGTTTATATCAACTTTTTTACGACGTTATTTCGAAAACTTATTTCAAACAAATTGACGTTGGCGTTGAAAGTTTTCTAGATATATAGTGTTTGTTTTCTTTCTTGGATGTGTGTGTGAACACATCATCTCTGAACTCGTCAATAAAGATGATGAAGAAGTCACAATGTTTTACATATTTGACAGAAATAAGAACTTAGGCATAAGTGATGATAACATCTTCATAATAATATTAGAATTTGAAATAATATACCATTTCATTTGTAGTTTTTGAAATGTATCAAGTATATTTACCTGGTTCTTCAGCAGCTGCAAAAACAGCCATAAGGAAGAAAATAGCGAAAATTGCGCACAAGTATTTCATTTTGAACAATTTTGTGTATCGCCGGTACTGTAAACACTTGTTCTCCTAATCTCTTGGTTATATATGCAACACCTGATATAAAATATGATCTCTAAGTGTTTTGAGTGGGTTTGGAGACTCTTCAGACTGTGAGATTAAATATTTTACTGATTACATACTAATGTATTGTCACATTAGTACTACATGCCACCTTTTCTTTTTGTTCTTCATTGAGATACATAGAAATGGAATTATATACATATATGTATATGAATATTCAATCCATCGCATTTTGGCGAAGAATTTGGGCATGAGAAAGGTGTGTCAGCGATCCAAATCCCCAAAAATAGCCATTTGGAAAAGTCCAAAGACAATGATTTGTTTCTACGATTTGAAGGGAATTATTCACAAAGAATTCGTTCCACCAGGCCAAACGGTTATTGCTGTGTTTTATCTTGGTGTTATGCGTATTCGTCGTGTTCAGACAGAATATCGCGAAGAAGGAAGCTGGCGCTTGTTGCACGATAATGCACCATGTCATCGATCGACGCCTTTGTTCAACCACTCCCCATATTCTCCTGATATGGCACCGTGTGACTATTTTCTGTTCCAAAAGGCATCGACGACCATTTTGAAGGACATCCAGGTCATTGAACTAAAATCATCATTCGAAATCGTTTGATACGCGCAAATAGCTGTATTAACTCCGAAGGAGACTATTTTGAATGAACTAAATTCGATTTTCCGAAATAAAAAATGTTTGTTCATTTTTTTCCTTTGCGACAGACCTTGTACGTATATAAATGTCTGCCCTGGAAGCCACCTTTGTCCTTTTCATTACGTTTTCCATCTTATTTCGGTAGAATCTAGGAGGAATATTTTGAATAGCTTCCGGCACATTGTTTTTTAGCTGCCATTGTATAGTACTTGTTTAGTTAGTATGCACATTATTTTTTAGAAATCTCCACAAAAACGAAACTTGAGGCCGTTAAAACTGGTCTAGTTTGGAGCTATATGACATCGAAGGCAGCCTACTTGTTTAAGGCAATATAAACTGATGATAAGAACGGGTTCTTTTAAAAATAATCAAGAATGACTAAAAGTTATGATTTTAGAATAAATGTTGGATTGGAAAAGATTTGCTCAACGTAAAAGTATCAGTACGCCTTATATCTATTTAATAATCACTTCCAGGAAAAATTAATATTTTGATCATCATTGTTGATTGGCAAGTTACCCAGATTAGATAACATCTGATAAGTAATATAGACGACAACTTTGAAAAAGCAATCGTTTTTAATAAAACATTGATCATACCTATTTAAATTTCCGACGTCCTCATATTGATGTATCACGATTTTTGTTATTTCAAAAATAAGTTTTAGTGCAAGTCATGGTATTATTTGAATGGGATGGGACAGAAAATATACATATATATATATATATATACAGGGTGGCCAAACACGTGACGTCATAAAAAAAAAATTAGATTCCTCACATCGAGAGGAACCCAAATCACCCCCATATATATGGTCCGATTTTGTTTAGTTTAGGAGTTATGATTTTTTTCGGATTTTTCGAGAATTTTTGAGTTCTGTGTTTATTTTTACCATAACTTCGTTAATAATTGTGATAAATGCCTGCTTTTTTCACGATTATGTAGCTAAGACCTAAGGCTTAACTATCATATAATCATTCAAGTCATGTAACTAATACTACTTTTTAATTTTTTTCAAAATCTTCGAACATAACAAAAAAGTAAAAAAGTGCAACAACTTTGAACGTTTATAAAAAATTGAAAAAACATGTTCTTACTATTCGTAAGTATCTTAAAAACTTCCTTACGGTATCAGCTATTTACCGTAAAAATTTCATCAACCTAGCTTTACTACATGCTACCGTAATTGTGGCTCAAATAGAACCGAACCCAAAATTGGATAACCCTCTGCTCAATAGAAATTGTTAGTTTCGGAAAAAAAATTGCAAAAACCACAAAAACACGTTTGATTTTTACTGAACAGCAGATTATTATTCATTTATGTTATTTACAAGAGGTTTTCAAAATGTCTGCCTCTAACAGAAATGCACAGTGTACACCTACGTATGAAATTTGTTTTAAATCTCTAAATGCTTGTGTGTTGTTTTTCAACACATGTGTCGCTTCTTGAATTTTGTTCCTCAATGAATTTTCATTTGCACATTCTTGGGCGAATGTTATGTCTTTAAAATATCCCCAAACAAAAAAATCAATGGGGTTGAGGTCAGGGGAGCGTGGAGGCCATCGTATCGGTCCGTTTCGTCCGATCCATCTGTCTGGGAACCTTTCGTTTAAGTAGTTTCGCACGATCGTTGCATTGTGGCATGGTGCACCATCATTCTGGAACACCATGTTCCGTCTGGCTTCCAGGCTTGAATCTTCCAGCAATAATGGTAGGCTATTTTCAAGGAAGCTTTTGTAGGCTACCGAATCCAACCTTGACGGCAGTTCAAATGGACCGATAAATTCCATATTGAATATTCCTGACCACATGTTCACACTAAAACGGTGTTGAAATGTCGACGGCCTTGACTGGTGGGGGTTTTCAACAGCCCAAGTATGTAAATTATGGATATTGAATATCCCTGTTCTTTCAAAACGTGACTCGTCAGTCCATAAAATTTTATCAAAAAAATCGGGATCCTCTCGTTGTCTTCGCAGCATTGTCTCGCAACCAACAGAGGACACGTCATCACCACCGACCAGTCACGTCATCTACGGCACAGGACACGTCAGCCGTTCTGGTATAAATAACCCCGAAAGGCTAAGTCACCTGCAGACGAAATAAGATGCCATATCAGCCGAAACCTCGTGCTCTAAAAAATTGGATATTCCGGGACTCTGCTTTGCATACTGATTTGGACTTTGTTTGCTAAGAAGTTTGTGATGCATTATACGTTGCGTGAATATGCAGAAATGCATTATTGTTATGGCGCTGCTCAAGGCAACGGCGCTTTAGCAGCTCAGCTGTACCGGGAACAACTTATACGCCGAGGCGGACCACAACCTGAGCATTACCCAGACCATCGTGTTTTTATTAACACACATAACACTTTCATGGCAGGCCGCATTCCAGGACGAGGAAGCAATGAAGGATATCCTACAGCTGATCCGGATCGCAGAGAAGTAGTACTTGAAGAAATTAGCCGGAATCCCTCAATGAGTACGAGATCTATGGCACAAAACCTTAGAATACCACGAACATCGATACAAAATATTCTTCATGAAGAAGGTTATCATGCCTATCATGTTCAAAGAGTTCAAGCGTTGATGCCTTCAGATTACCAGTTAGGAGTGGATTTCTGCGAGACAATGCTGCGAAGACAACGAGAGGATCCCGATTTTTTTGATAAAATTTTATGGACTGACGAGTCACGTTTTGAAAGAACAGGGATATTCAATATCCATAATTTACATACTTGGGCTATTGAAAACCCCCACCAGTCAAGGCCGTCGACATTTCAACACCGTTTTAGTGTGAACATGTGGTCAGGAATATTCAATATGGAATTTATCGGTCCATTTGAACTGCCGTCAAGGTTGGATTTGGTAGCCTACTAAAGCTTCCTTGAAAATAGCCTACCATTATTGCTGGAAGATTCAAGCCTGGAAGCCAGACGGAACATGGTGTTCCAGAATGATGGTGCACCATGCCACAACGCAACGATCGTGCGAAACTACTTAAACGAAAGGTTCCCAGACAGATGGATCGGACGAAACGGACCGATACGATGGCCTCCACGCTCCCCTGACCTCAACCACATTGATTTTTTTGTTTGGGGATATTTTAAAGACATAACATTCGCCCAAGAATGTGCAAATGAAAATTCATTGAGGAACAAAATTCAAGAAGCGACACATGTGTTGAAAAACAACACACAAGCATTTAGAGATTTAAAACAAAATTTCAGACGTAGGTGTACGCTGTGCATTTCTGTTAGAGGCAGACATTTTGAAAACCTCTTGTAAATAACATAAATGAATAATAATCTGCTGTTCAGTAAAAATCAAACGTGTTTTTGTGGTTTTTGCAAATTTTTTTTCCGAAACTAACAATTTCTATTGAGCAGAGGGTTATCCAATTTTGGGCTCGGTTCTATTTGAGCCACAATTACGGTAGCATGTAGTAAAGCTAGGTTGATGAAATTTTTACGGTAAATAGCTGATACCGTAAGGAAGTTTTTTCAATTTTTATAATCGTTCAATGTTGTTGCACTTTTTTACTTTTTTCTTATGTTCGAAGATTTTGAAAAAATTTAAAAAGTAGTATTAGTTACATGACTTGAATGATTATATGATAGTTAAGCCTTAGGTCTTAGCTACATAATCGTGAAAAAAGCAGGCATTTATCACAATTATTAACGAAGTTATGGTAAAAATAAACACAGAACTCAAAAATTCTCGAAAAATCCGAAAAAAAATCATAACTCCTAAACTAAACAAAATCGGACCATATATATGGGGGTGATTTGGGTTCCTCTCGATGTGGGGAATCTAATTTTTTTGTATGACGTCACGTGTTTGGCCACCCTGTATATACATATACAGGGTGTCCCGAAAAAGTGTGCAATATTCTACCAGCGGTTTCTGGAGCTTAAATTAGGAAGAGAAGTTTATATAAACATAGGTCGACAAACGTCCCCTAAGGGCACTACGGTCTTTTAAAGGGGCTCCCCTGAAGATGGTTTTTCCTCAATATTTCCGAAACGTGTTGTGGTAAAGACATCAAATTTGGTATTCTAGCCTAGTTTTTAATGCTGGAATTAAAAATATTAACAATTTTAGGCAGTTTTGTTTGGAAGCGTATGTAACAGGGATGGACTCAGGTTATTTCAGCTCCAAAATTTTTGTGTGATTCTATTTTTGAAATTCAATTTTAGAATTTGAAAATTTAGGGTTTTCTACATAAAAAAGGTACTCTTATTGAATATCGATAAATTGTGCCATTTTTGAATAAAATCAAACTAAAGAATTTGTTACATGATAGGAAATGTACTGCGAATTTAAATGAATTGTTGATTATACATAGTTAGCTATGACTGCAGACAAAAGTTGTTTTGATTTGTTATGACTTATTTTGACGTTAAGCGGACATTGTTAGCA